CACTATTCTGATTCAGGTGTACAATGCTTCAAAGAATATAAACTATTCTGATTCAGGTGTACAATGCTTCAATGAATATAAACTATTCTAATTCAGGTGTACAAGGCTTCAATGAATATAAACTATTCTAATTCAGGTTTACAATGCTTCAATGAATATAAACTATTCTAATTCAGGTGTAAAATGCTTCAATGAATATAAACTATTCTGATTCAGGTGTACACTGCTTCAATTAATATAAACTATTCTGATTCAGGTGTACAAGGCTTCAATGAATATAAACTATTCTGATTCAGGTGTACACTGCTTCAATGAATATAAACTATTCTGATTCAGGTGTACAATGCTTCAATGAATATAAACTATTCTGATTCAGGTGTACACTGCTTCAATTAATATAAACTATTCTGATTCAGGTGTACAAGGCTTCAATGAATATAAACTATTCTAATTCAGGTGTACACTGCTTCAAAGAATATAAACTATTCTGATTCAGGTGTACAAGGCTTCAATGAATATAAACTATTCTGATTCAGGTGTACAATGCTTCAATGAATATAAACTATTCTAATTCAGGTGTAAAATGCTTCAATGAATATAAACTATTCTGATTCAGGTGTACAATGCTTCAATAAATATAAACTATTCTGATTCAGGTGTACAAGGCTTCAATGAATATAAACTATTCTGATTCAGGTGTACAATGCTTCAATGAATATAAACTATTCTGATTCAGGTGTACACTGCTTCAATGAATATAAACTATTCTGATTCAGGTGTACACTGCTTCAATGAATATAAACTATTCTGATTCAGGTGTACAATGCTTCAATGGATATCCACGACCTAGTGAGGTTATCAGATGTTTTAGAATATCTAGAGAAAACCCTGACAGACAACCTGGAAAAAAATAAACATTCCCCAGTAGAAGCTAAGTTATCTACATATTTTAAAGGTCTGATATATTTTATTCATATTTCTGAATTCCAGTATCCTTGTTGCTATTAGACTACAAGCTGTGTATGATAGATTGTCCTGGACAGTTTGAAAAGAATAAGCTATGGCCAGTGTCAGATTTTCTCACTGCAAACTGCACGGCATTACATGTGCTAATTCTATTAAAACTAAGCAATGAAAGACGTAGTAAAGAGTTTTATAAGGCAACGGTGAAGCAAGAGTTTAATAATTTATTTTGTACTTTTACTATCCATTGCAGAACTAAAATTAAATTTAAGAAGATTTGCCATTGAAGATGAAAATCCAAATCTGAGGATTTTAAAGGATGAGATAATAAAGTTACGGAAGGAGAAAGGAGATGATTCGTTGGGTATAATTTTTGTCAGAACTCGAGGAACTTGTTCTGCTATTTGTGAATGGATGAAGTCAGATCGAGAGTTGAGGAGATTAAATGCTGAACCATTCACCGGAGCTGGTGCTCATGAAGAGGAGGGAGGTCTGTTAATTTTCTGATTATTGTGGTTCAGATTTTTGATGGTATTTTAAAGATTTCATAATAGATATAGGACTCAATCTGATAGCAAATCTGAATGTTTTGTTTCTGAATAGATACGCTGTCGTCTGTAATGTGCAGTGTTGACACCAACCTCCCAAAACCTTGGGTTCAAAAAGGGGGCAGACTGACTGAACAGGGGGACAACTGTCAAGGTTGAAATTCTATATACCACAGCTCTGTGGAAAGCACCACTCATGGATTGTCTGGTTTCTTGCCTACGAAAATTTAAAAAAAAAAGAATGGATGGTTCATTCTGACACATATATTTTAAAATTTGTCAGACTTAAAAAACAAACGTGAAACTAAAAATATTCTTTAAGATAGGCTTCTTTCGACAATATTATACACAGGCGAAACTAAAATCAACCTTTCCTTTGGCAAGAGTTTGAAATGAACTATTTGTGTATTATAGGAATGACACAGAACCAACAGGATGCTGCAATAGCAAGGTTTAGATCTGGTACCACCAAGTTTCTGGTAGCTACTAGTGTAGCCGAAGAAGGGTTGGACATTCCAGATTGTAATATAGTGATACGATACAATCATGTCGGCAATGAAATTACTACAGTTCAGACTCGAGGTAGAAATCTTTTTTAGGATCAAATTTTCCAAATATGTTTTATTTTTCTCGAGGAATACTTTCTTGTTGTATTAGAATAAATTACCTAAAATGATATACTTCGGTAATAAGGCCGCTGGAGATATAGGCCTACCTCCTTTCAATGTACCAGCTTGAAAACTCTTCATCAGTATATATTAGTTTTTATTATTCAAAATCAAAGTCGAATGTAACTTACAAAGATAAACAAAACAGACGAATATACTGATTAAAGGGCTCTGATTAAAATTTTGCTATTTTATCTTAGACGACGAATATGAGTGCTACTTTTCAAGTTGTCAAGATTCACAAGTACTATTTGTTAGATCTCGAGAAAGTAAGACCTTTTTTGTTTTTACAGGCAGGAGTCGAAAAAGAGGTGGAACATCTGTCCTATTGGGAATGGATGAGATATTAAAAAGAGAAATCTTAAACATTGGGAAATCTAAAATGATGGAGCAAGCCATTCTTCAGTTCAAACAGATGCCCTTGCCCGACGTGAAGAAGCAGATCAAGGAATATCAAAAGGCTGTAATCCAAGAAGAACAGCTGAAGGAAGAAATTAGCAAACTCTCACAAAGAAACAAAATTAATGACCGTTTTCAACTAGTGTGTTTTAAGTGTACACAATTAAAGATCGACAACAAGTTTATCAAAACTATCAATAATTCCCACCATGTCGTAATCGACCCTGAGTTCATGTTAAAAGTCGACTTGCGACCAGACCAATCACCACGGAAACCATTTGATGGAATCCAAATTACCGGCAAAATACACTGTAAGAAATGTCATAATCATTTAGGTGTCATGTTCCGGTACAAGGGTCTCATGTTCCCAGCTGTTAGAGTGGAGAGTTTTCAAATTTTGACCTCTTCTGGTCAAATAATGCTGCTGAGGAAATGGAAGGATTTGCCCTTTCTGGTGAAGGAAATCGGACAGGAAGATTATAAGCGAATGATTTCTAGAGAAAAAGAAGCACAGAATCCCGAGCAACCGGATAATGATGCTATATTAGATCTTACTGATTTAAGACTGGATGAAGAGAATTCCGAGGATGAAGATTCAGATTTTGTTTTTGTTAAAGAGAGATTCCGAGATAAACTAGATGAAAAAGATGTTGATGAAACAGACGTCAAATATCCTTGAAAGGAACAGAAGAGAAGGGGGGCAGTGTTGGGGGGGGGGGGCGGGGGGGGGGGGGTCTA